GGGCGGCAATATAGGTGGAAGAAGAGCGCCGATCAAGGCTGGTTCATACAGAAGGGTTTGGGAGGAATCATCAAGGTACTGGCCAACAAGGCAGTTACCATAGATGGGTTGTTCCTCACCAACATGATCATGGCGATGGACGAGCACAAGAAGGCAATCAGAGTCTGCAGAAGGAACATCCGGCTTTCGGCGGAGTTCTTCAACCAGGTATTCGATTTTCCCGAATTCCAGGGACACATGAAGAAGCCCAGCCGAACCATCCGACCAAGTGCGTATCGACATTTGTTCGAAGAAACAGCTGCGGGCAGAAGAAAGTGGAAGACCCATCTCGCCAGAAAGAAGGACACCAAACGGGTGCAAGGCATCCAAGTCAGGGACTTTCCGGATACACATGCCAATAGGCTTCGATCCCTTACGGCTCTCATTGGATGCAAGGAGGAGCCGAAGGCGATCCCGGAGCCAGGGTAGAGCGTGGGGGAGGATTTGGCTGAATTGCGGAAGTCTCTCACGCAATCGCTATGGGGGATAGCTTCTTTTCTTGCGCCGCTGCCAAAGTCATGCAGAGAAAATTCTCCCAAGGTAGAAGAGGAAACTTCTCGAGATGATTATCAGGAAAATCAAGGAGTGGAGAATGCCAGTGTTTGTATCGTTGAGAAAGAGAAGCTTAGTGGAATGCAAAGCGACTTTGCGGAACTCAAGGGAGGATTCAGGAAAGGTTTCCGGGGGGATGAGTCCCGGAGCAGTGACAAGCCGGAGGGAGCTTCCCAGGACGCGGGGCTGCTCAAGCCTTTGATTGACAACGTTCTCACCAGCGACAAACCGGCCGGCCAGGTTACTCCTGTTGATGACGAAGAAGATACCAGTCGTGGTGGTGGCATGGAGTCGTCGTCCAAGATGGGGATTTCGGCGGCGACTCTCGTGGATGGAGTGTCCAAGCTTGTGTCGAGCTTGTTCTTGTTTGATGACGAGCCAGACGACGCCATCGAGGTCCCGGTGCTCACTGACGAGGTTGTCGCGTTTGCGAGGAACGTCTCTTTTCATCCCGAGACGTGGCTCGACTTTGCTCTTGCCTTGGACGATGATCTTCAAAACGGTATGGGAAGTGTTTTGACATTGTTTACCTTGAGGATCACTTAGCAGGAGAAAAAAATCTCTTTTTTCTTGCAGGATTTCAGATGAACCACGCTTATGCAGTGGAGCGTGCTGCGTTGAGGCTCGCCGCCTTAATTTGTCCCCGGCATATGAACGAGGGACGTTTTTGGCTGGGAATGGGAATTGTTGCAGCTCCAGGAATTAGAAAGAGAGAAACGTGCTTTAGCGAAACGACTTCTGTAAGCGGTCGTGGTGGCAAGGGCGCTAGATCGGAAGTCATTGATATCAGTGATGAGGAGAGTAATGGGGAGACGTCTATACTAGGTGAGAAGCACAATCTGCCATTGAGCTTCACACCTCGAGGCCGTCAGGAGACAGTCGCAGTGAAGGAAGAACCGGGATGGCGTGGTATGGGTGTAAAGAAGGAAGAGCCTCCCGGGAGCTATGCTCAAACAGCTGCCTGGAATGGAGCAACTTCCTCTTACGGCTGGAGAGTTGCTCCAAAGATGGAAGAAGTTTTTCTGATGGGCAGAAGGTTTGATCAGCCGGCTTCGTCGGGTTCATCTGTCCATGCAGGCCCAAAGAAGAAGGAAGAACCAGTTCAGAACACGAGCACAAACACAACTCCAAATCTGCTCAACCAGTGCCTGTGGTTCGCCGGAATGGTCAAGCCAGCATAGCAACTTCGTCTTGCCGCTGGACAGCTCCTCCAAACAAGGAAGAAGTTTTGCCAACTGGTAGAAGGTTTGATCAGCCGTCGTTGTCGGGTTCGTATGTCCATGCAGGCCCAAAGAAGGAGCCTTTGAGTCAAGAAACTCCAAAGAAGGAAGAATCAGTTCACAACACGAGCACAAACACAAGCTGCTCAACAGGTGCACGTAGACAAATGTCTTCGCCGGATCTTGGAGGTACACTTGCACTGACTGCTATTTGGATGTTTACATTTTCTTTTCCCACAGAGAATGATCACTCCTGATACAAACGAAGAGGCCACTCCAGATGAGGGAATGAGGTATACTTTTAAATCTTCTATGTTTCACGGGTTTAAAGCAATCTTTGTAGAGAATAGCTTTAGCTTGGATGGTGAAGAGCGAGGAGCGTGGAAATTGTTCTGGTGGCTTTCTAGCAGGTGAGCCTTTTGTATGTCATATTGGTTGAACGATCTCCTTGACGTCAATCCGGGAACACAAGCCATTAAACCTGAGATTAAACCTAAGATCCTGAGCTTATGCCAAATAGAAGGGGTGGCACTCTTGTCGTACGCCCGACAAGCGTTTTGAGACAGTGGTATCATGAGATCGAGGAAAAAGTTACAGCGGCGGCAAGGTAACAGGAAGAGGTGTCCCTACGAGTTAGCCAAATATGACGTTGTGTTAACCACGTACTCAATTGTAACAAATGAGGTGCATTCTCCTTGCCCACCACTTCCAATTCCAGTCGCAAGTATGCCAGACCTACGCCACGCTCCTCAAGTGCGAATCCATGTCCACATTGTCGCTAACAGCCTCACCTCCGCGATCACCTTTTCCTCCGGAGCGGGATAGCTTTGGAGACTGGGCTGGTGAAGATGGAGCTATCTCATGAGTTATAGAACACCATCTCAGCTAGCACGCAGGTAGTGGCTCCTCCATTCTCAGGGCCTCCTGCTCCAGCTCTTCAAATCCAAGCTCCCAAGACTAGCATACCAAAGACAATAGGTAAGGGAAACATCATAGAAAGCTTTAGTGTACCTCAATGGAAGCTCCCAAAGCAGAGTCAAAGCTTGCATTCACAATACTTGGAAGAGTACCCTCCTGAAAGAAAATTCTTGCCCGTGCCTACGTCTGTACTTTCCCTTCTCCTGAAACACAACACACAACACACAAGTGAGCACGAATCGAATGGTTTCTAAACATACGCACAGTTTGGCATCGAAGTTGAGCCCACCAGGAGCAAGACCTCCCTACACGAAGATAAGATAAACAAAAGATGATACGGTCAGGCGAAGAAACAAGTTTTCGAGTGACTTACATTCTGAAGCACTCAAAGCATCACTTGCGTGGTTTCTGCAATATCCATCAGGAGCAGGTCGGTATCCCATCCTGAAAGAAAATCTCTGAGGTACTGCGTGAAACGAAGTAGCGGAAAAAACCTACCTGTTTGAGCGTCACCAGTGTTGGCGTCAATGTTTCCCAAAACTCCATTGGTTCGAGAAACTTCCAGTTCATGACAGCAGCTGCATTCCACGAGTATCAGTACAAACAATAAACTTTCGGCTGTCTTACCTGTGTCGTTGCGTGGTTGCATTCGAAGTCGTCCGCGCCGGAGGAATAGAGTTAGATGGATCTACGGGGAAAACCACAAGCTAGCTTACCCTTCAATCCATGTTTTTGCAAGAATCCAATCGCCGTTGCAGCATCCCAATCATATCTACATAAACAAACATTAAGTAAGGTGCATTAAGTTTAAAGCAAGCCGGTACTGATGCTTCGTGGGTTCCTGAGGCTTTGGTTCAATGAGAAGCACGCCTGCGATATGAAAGAAAAAAATGTCTCAGCACCAAGCAGTCAGCGTGAGATACTTACCGTCAAATTCGATCTTCTTCTTGTACTCAGCGGCCGATTTCAAAAATTGTCCCTGCAAAGCCTATAGCTGCCGAAGTTGAAGACGAGAACAAAGAAATTATTACCAGGTGATTGAGCTCCCTCTCAAGGTCTGTGTCCAAGAGAGACTGAAATCCTTCCCGGCCACCCCAGAACACGTAATTCTCTCCACCAAGCTCGTTCGTAGCCTGAAAGCAGAAAGCTCAGACGTCAGCATGAATAAAAGAAGAGCAAAACATGTAACATACCTCTCTTGACTTGAGCGGCTGCATAAGCATAAATCCTAGCGTCGGGACTAGAAGCAATTACAATAGGAAAGAGAGCAACAATACCTGGTGGCTGCGCCATGCCTGTATCTTGGGTGCTTGAAAAGCTGCGCTGTTCCCTAGAGAGGTCTTGTGGACTGGTCGGACATCACAAATGCGCACATAGTTCCTGTCTCAAGCTCAAGGTTAGAAGTTCCGGAAAGTTTCAAGCTTTCATGGTACGCTAGGAAGGGGGTTTGCTGCTACTGGCCCCAAAGGAATTCTGACACAGCAGCAGCAGCGAAATGGCCGCAGACCATCAGGACTTCGTCATCGGATTCATTTCCATAAATCCTGCTGCATGGCCTCCAAGCTGCCAATCTCGGAGTGCTCTCCCGAGGACGTTTACAATGGGCGAGATGAAAAGAGGCACCGCGTCGGAGAAGTACCAACGTACCAGCAGTTTATCTTGTGCTCCCACTCAGAGCACACGAAAAAACCCGTTCTTTACCGCTGGCCATTTACTCCCCCTTTGATAGACCGTCTCTTGGCCATTTTGATAATGCGGGGCCTCGTCCATCTGTGCTGCTGCTGCTGCTGCTGCTGCTTGGGATTTCTGGCTGGCTGGATTCGTCGCTGGGGCTCCAGCCTCTGATCTTGTCAAAGATCTTCCAGGCCTTCGTTCAAGCAGTATGCCATGTGCCGGATATATGTGAACTCTATCTCGTTCCTCTTCCTTGATATCCAAATGGTTCTCTCGTCCTCTCTCTCTTTCTAAAATGCCGGTTTTTCAGGACCCGGATGCTCGTCGCTCGGAGGTGGTGCATTCACGGAGCTCGGCCCTTTCTATCCCGACTCCAAATCGGATGGCCTGGTGCAGGAACTGGTCGGAGAAATTCTCTGGGTTCCTGTGCTTGTTTACGTCGATACTCGCCTCAGCTTCAATTATCCGGTTCTCCGATGGCTGAAAAGCTCTCCAAGTTAGAACCATCAATGATCGGACTCAAAAAACATACGAACTTACCCGGAAGGGATTCCAAATCTTCGGCCCAACATCGTTCGGCTTGCCGAAACACACGCCCTAGTAACCGGGAGAAATCCCAGCATCACAAACTTGCTCTTCCGGAGAAGATGTTTCCAGTGCAAGAGGAACCACATTGTCCTCCACCGGAGGAGTTTCCATTTTATCTTCCAGAGGTTCTTGCACCATAGCAGCGGCAGAGCTGCTGTTCTTGATGTGTGTGGAAGTCAGCAAGTTCTTCATGGCAGCAGCGTGCTGCTGCTTCATCGACGACGAGAGCCCGATCAAAAAGTACTGCTTCTCCTTGGACGGCGGCGACATACACCCCTGCTTGATCGGCGTGGAAACGCCGTGCCCCAGATCGAATGCGTTGCGGATCAAAGGCGTGTTGCTCACTGGCTGCCTGGCTAGCTGCCGCAGAGAGTTGAGAAATCTGCCCCCTCTCATCTTGAGGCGCTCGGCGAAGATCAGTACTCCCAGACGATCTGGCAAGAATCACTCACCAGCAGCCGAGCGGCATCGCCAGCGCCATCGCGGCCTCGCTCGCCATAGCCTGGCCGTTACGCGGCACAGAAAGATTGGTCCAGGGGCGGCGAGTGTGTAGAGGATGAAGTTTGGATGAAATGCAGAGGATTTTGGAGGATCGAGGCCTCAAGCTGCGCCCAGCAAAGAGAAATGCCAGTGGCCTTTTGTTTTTCTTCATTGCTCTCAGACAGAATGTTATTTTCTGGAAGACGATGAAAGAGGCATGATCTCGTTCGATCTTTGCTGGTTTCCAGCACGGATTCCGAGCTCGAGAAAATGGTTTTGGAAAGGCTGGATGAATTTGGCACTGATGAAAGCAATGTAGGCAACTTCGCCGCTCCGTGCGAGAGGAACGAACGCAGAGAAATCTTTGTCTGAATGGGCAAAGGATAGAGGAGTCAAAAGCAACATTGGCATAGCTGGTGAGTCTGGGTATATTTTTCTATGACGATCTTAAAAGCTTTGTGACAAAACAGATTTTGAAGGATATGGTAGAGGAGGGGCTGCAGCCTGCAGCGTGCGATTTAAAAGCTGGAGATCTCGTCCTTGAGATTCCCAGCGAGATTATTATCTCTGAAACTGTCACGCTGGAGTCGGATTTCTGTTCGATTGCTGTTTACACGGATCGAGTAAAGTGACTTGCGTCACCGTTGCATTTTTCTGCCTCGTTCTTGCTTGCTCTGGTGAGAAAGATGTTCCAGAAGGAATTGCCACTCACAGACTGATCGAAGAGAGCGAGCTTGCTTCCAACGAACCCTTGTGCCACTCGCTCCTGAACACCGAGCTTGGGAGACTAGAGGGCGTTCGGGAAATTTTTGAAAAGATGGCGAGCAAGAACGTGATCTCCTGGATGTCCATCGTCTCGGCTCACGCCCAAGCAGTGGAGATGACTCTGTCGCTCTTCGTGAGAATGCAGCTGGATGGCCTCACTGCACACAGATCGAGTGCTCTCACTGCCTGCTCGAGCATTCCAGCTCCAGTGCAAGGCAAGCTCCTCTACCAGGAACTTCTGGAGAGCGGTGGCCTGGAAGACGATGCAGTGCTCACGACCGCATTGCTCGACATGTACGCCAGCTACGGGGGCCTCGAGAGGTTGTTCCGGGACATGGTTTTCAAGGACGAAGTCACGTGGACTGCGATGATCGCTGGATATGTGCGCAACGATCTAGAAAGCCGTGGAGCTCTTCCGGGAGATGCTGGCAAACGGCTTGAGCCCCGGGGCCGTGACGTTTGTGCACTTGTTCTCGGCGGAGTCGCGCTGGTACCTTTATATGTTGCTCGAGAACTACAAGCTGGTGCACGAGCTGGATCACCAGGTCTGTGATTGTTCGGCTTGCTGGAACGTCTCAACAGGGCCGATGAGCTGATCCAAACCGGGCCTGGAGGACGCTGCTTTCGGCTTGCAAGACGCACAACAAGAAGGATCGAGCGGACCGAGCGGCAAAGAAGAATGACAGCAAGCTCGATCCGGGATGTCGCTCTCATCCTCTCCAACTTAAACGCCGATGCTGGGGAATGCAAAGGCGGAAGAAGCAACAGCCGCAGGGCCAGCTCCTCGTTGCTATGATCCTCCAAGCCAGGAAACACGTAGTGAGCGCAGGACTACACAAGTTGTGGCGAGAGGGAGGGAGTTGGGATCACGGAGACCAGCAAGCTCGGCTGTCGCGGGGTGATGATGATAGAATAGTTCCACGCAAGACAAGGGTGGAGCTCGATTGTTGGGACGATTACTACAAGCTGAGGCAGCGAGCTCTGAGGAACAAGAGCTCCTCCTCGTCTCACTGCTCGCTGGTGAGCCAGAGAAGCTCAGCGAAGTCTGGAGCAACTAAGCCTTCGGTTTTGGTCGTATTCCTTTGAGACAGTGGTTTGTTGTCAGAAAATGGCAACATCCACAAACCGGAACTGAAAGTTCTAAGCATGATTCGAGCTGCACCCTATCAAAACGAAGTAAAAGTCAATGACGTTGCAAAGTCCCAACAGCTTTAACGAACCTCTGAAATTGGTAATCCAAACGTCACCCTAGAAAGAACGCCTTTCAGAGCATCTGGAGCTCCTAGAAAAGGAGCACCTGCAAGAGATAGCATTGCTGGTAAGAAGGTTAACAATCCGCCAATCTCACCTAGAGCATGATACGTGAAAATGTGATCGTCGATCCAAGTGGTGTACAGTTTGGGCGGTACTTCTTGTTTCAACCATTCCAGAAAATATCTGAACACATTATTCCCAAGAGAATGCGCGAAAACGAGGGCCGTCACTCGTTTTCGCGCATACTCTTGGCCCCCCTCGCAGCTTCGGAAGCGTCTCGAAAGTTAGCCTGGAATTAGAGATTAGAAAAACAAGAGGTGATTTTGAGAAGGCAAAACCTCAGCCTGTGGAAGTACAGACCTCGTTCGAGGAGAACTGGACCCGCCAATCTCCAGTCGTAGGGTGCATCAACGCCGAACTCTACACACCAAGAAACCCACTCCTTCCATACAGAAGACAATGGTCCTGTGATATCCTGATTAACAAAACGAATAGAGAAAAAAATGGATACCTGTGAAATATCGGAAAATTTTTTCAAACGAAACTCACCAGAGCTACTTGTTTATGCTGTTGTCTCAGCTCCTAGACCATGATCCTCAAAGGTTTGAAACCCAACTTCCTTTCCCGATCCTGCTGGTGCAAAGCTCTGTTCGAGATCGCAGCTGTCAGTGCTCTGAAAGATCCTGAAAAAAACTAAAAATCCAGTGAGCTGAAATCAAGGGGCGAGAAGGGACAATACCATGATCTCGTGCAGCCATTTATCAATCCCTGAGTGCCAGAGATCTGTTGCAGATGTCATTCTAGGACCTTGCAAAAAGGAGTTCTTCTTTGTCATAGCATCAGAGGGGTAAAAAACGCAAAAGAAGCTATAGTCGAAGCTTCTCGACGGCTGAAACTTCCCACGTCCAAAACACGGAAAGATTAGCAAAAACAGTCAAAATGAATCAAGCAGAAGCTCACTGTTTGCCAAGTGATTCTTCCCGTGTTTAATTCTGGCGGAACTTGTTGAAGTGACACTTGACAGAAATTCTCGTTAAAAGAAACTGCAAACTTTCCTCACACGATGCTCACTGTTTTGTCCCCACTACTTATTTAATGGGGGTGAGCTGCGTTGCTGCCTCAGCTCCTGGATCATGATCTTGGCGTCGTCGGTGTTGCTTTCCTCGCTGGCGCCTCAAAGTCAACGTTGAAGGTGACTAGGTTTGGCTTGAATCCCTTCTCCAGCATCTCTCTGCAGCAGCTGAAATCCCAGCTTCCCTTTCCCGAGCTTGCAAATCGTGCTGATCAGAGCTACGTACGAGATCGCATCCACCAGTCCAGCAGCCATCGGATGAGGGGCCGATTTATAATCTGAAAATAGAAAACAATTAACCATATAAATAGATGATTCATTGATCTTCATTCCTCTGAAATCTCTGCGGTTTCCTAAAAGGGACGTGTCAATCAATGGCTGACAACGACTCAAAAAAGATGTGAGTTACCCTAAACAGGCTTGGGTAATGGAAGATAGAAAGTAAAAGCATAAAAGATAAAAGTTTTGCTGCCCAATGATGAAATCTAAGTTAACCAAAAGCGTGGCTTTCCAATTTAGGATAAACTTGGATGTTAAGAAATTACTAATTTCTACATTCAAAAATATTATAATATGCAAAAGCCATATTTTATATTTTATGTAAATTAATTTATATATAACTAAGAAATAATGCAATACTAATATACTTAAAAGTCTCTCAAAAAAAGATGATTGCAGTGATCATATCCATGCTGAACTGAAGAGCATTACTACCTCAGTGTTAATTATAAATGGAAAAATTATTGTGACAAGCCACACGGAAAGTTCGATGAAGAGAAAAGCGCGAAAACCCAGCCGTTCGATGGACCTTTGCCATAGAACCTACGGCTGGCATTCATTTGTTTCGCGCTCGAATAAAAATCACATAGCCTTGATAAAGACCGTAGAGTTATCTACGCTCACCTCCCACTTAAATGCCTAGCCAGAGTGATTTCCACGTTGTCCGTCCCAAGTTCATCACGGGACACATTCTTTTCCCGGATCCATAGAAGCTCAAAGTGCTTGCCATACCTCTCAGGATTAAAAATCCCTGCAGACTCACCCCACCACCTTGGATCTCGAGCGATCGACCAGATGTTAATCAGCACTCTTGTTTTCGCAGGGATGGTGAAGCCGTTTACCTCGCAGTCTTGGTGTGATTCGTGGGGAGCCATTAGAGGAGCCGGCGGATGTCTCCTTGACTGCGGCTTTGAGCTATTTTAGTTTGGAAAGATCATCTTCATTTACTTCTCTACCGGATTTTTATGAGCTCCGAGAGTGCCCACTCTGTGCTAATGGCCGCTGAGTCAGGTCCTCCGGTAAGTACGTCCTGGAATACAGCCGTTTTACGATGGCTTATCGACAGACTCTTTCCTTCTTGCCCTCTGCGATGTGGATGCTGCATACCTTGATCGCTCCTTCCATCTTTCAGCGCTCCGGACCGATATTCTTACCTTAAACCGCACAAGATTAGTGGGAATCTACGTTGTTTAAGCTAACCCAGCCTTTACTTTAGTGCACATATAAATAAGATCAAGTCCTTTAGGGTCATACGAGCTATGGCGAGAGGAAGCAAGAGAAGTAGAGAAGACGATGGTATCATGGTGCTGACAAAGAAGCGTCGACTGAGAAGCGAGAGGGCTTGCAAGCTCACGGCCGAGGAGGTGAGGGATCAAAACTTGTACGGCGTGTGGGAGCACCACGACCTTCCGGACAACGTGTACCAGTGCCCAAGGTGCCAATCTTACAACACGCGGTTCGATTACTACAACAACGAGAAGAGTACTGGCAAGCGTGACCAGCCGCGCTACGCTTGTAGGTCGTGCAAGGGAAAATGGACACAAGGTGGCAAGGTAAGGGCCGTATCGCTATCGCCCAACGGTGGAAATAAGAGAACTTTAAAGAGCCATGGGGGAGACAAGATCACTCCAGTCGTCCAGGAAGAATTTGTAAGCG